CTCAATTCTCATCTTTCCTGAGCCCTCAGAGAGGTTGACCACACTCTTCTGGATCCTCTCTTCTCTCTTGGGTTTTTTTTTCTTTTTTTTGTGACCCTACCACTCTCTTTTGGCACACTGACTCTGACTGCTCCTTCTACAATCTACTTGGCCACTAATCGAGCATGCCTTCTGCACCTCCCTCCTGGACCGCCTTTTTTTCCTCTATCACTTGGTAGTCTCCATTCCCCCAAGTCAATTTTCTCTCTGCAGATAATTTCCAGGTCTATTTGTCTTGCCCTAGTCTCTCTCCTAAGCTCCAGTATCAAATTACCAACTGCCCACTGGATATTTCAAACTGGATGTCCCATAAACATCTCAACTCAACATATGCAAAATGGAACTCCTCCTCTTTTGCCCCAAACCTGAATTTCCCTCTAACTGTGAGAGTACCACCATTCTCCCCATCAGCCAGGTGCAAAACTGTAATATCACCCTCAATTCCTTGCTCACATTCACTCTAGATAATAATTGTCATCATCATCGGAGCCCGCATTTATGGAGCACTTTCAGGTTTACAAAGTGTTTTAAGTACGTTATCTCCTTCAATCCCATATGTGCAATCACTTACCAAAACTGGATGTTTCTTTACAAAGTCTTTCACAAATCTGTTCCCTTTTCTCCACTCCTACAACCACCACCCTAGAGCAGGCTCTCATCGCTTCTCCCCTGGACTATAACCTTCTCACCGGTTTCCCTGCCTCAAGCCTCTTCCCACTCGATCCTCTGCTAAACTCTTCCTAAACAGTGTATTTCCCCATGTCAGCCTTCTACAACTGCAATGGCTCCCTATTAGCATTAGGATGAAATATAAACTCGTTTGGCATTTAAGGCTCTTTGCAAGCTGGTCTCTTCTATCTTTCCAGTCTTCTCACAAATTATTCACCTCTATTTTCTTTGTGGACCATCCATATTGGCCTACTTGCCACTCCACACACACAATACCCCATATCCCACCTCCATGCCTTTGTATTACCCATCCCCCATGGCTGAAACACTCTCTCTCCTCAGTTGTGCCTCTTAGAATCCTTGGTATTCTTTTTTTTCTTTTTTTGGTGAGGCAATCAGGGTTAAGTGACTTGCCCAGGGTCACACAGCTACTAAGCGTTAAGTGTCTTAGGCTGGATTTGAACTCAGGTCCTCCTAACTCCAAGGCCAGAGCTCTATTCAGTGTGCCACCTAGCTGCCCAGAATCCTTGGTATCCTTAAAGACTCAGCTCAAAGCCCATCTTCTGCATGATGCCTGGTTTCCCCATCCCCCCAGCCCAGATGTCAGTGCCTTCTCTTCCAAAGTTGCCTTCTATCGTCTCTGTATGTATCTTGTATTTGCCTACTTACAAAAATGTAGCCTCGCCTATTAGAATATAAGCATCTTGAAGGGAGGAAATATTTTTGCCTTTCTCTGTATTCTCAGAGATCAGCAGCTTCTGGGGCAAATAGTAAGCATTTAATAAACGTTTGTTGATTGATTGATCTGACCAGAGCTGGATTTTTCTGTCTTTTCCTATCATTATGTTCTTGTCTCCTCATCTTTTTCTCTCTTTACAACTTTTTTCCAACTGTTTGCAGATTTCAGCCTTCTCCTTCTATCCCTGTTGCCATCACTATCCTCTGGGCAATGGGACAAGATCACATCTTAAATCCCTTCAATCTCTCAATCTCTGATCCAATGTTCTCCTTTTCCCAGGGCCACTTCCCCATATGCCTTCATGCTCTTTCCTGATGAAAGTGTGCCCTAGACACTACTGCACTGTTGGTGGAGTTGTGAACTGATCCAACCACTCTGGAAAGCAATTTGGAACTATGCCCAAAGGGTTATAAACTGTGCATACCCTTTGATCCAGCACTACTAGGTCTGTATCCCAAAGAGATCATGGTAAAGGGGAAAGGACCCATATGTACAAAAATATTTATAGCAGCTCTTTTTGTGGTGGCAAAGAATTGGAAATTGAGGGGATGCCCATCAATTGGAGAATGGCTGACCAAGTTGTGGTATATATAATGGGATACTACTGTGCTATAAGAAGTGATGAGCAGGTAGATTTCAGAAAAACCTGGAAAGACTTACATGAACTGATGCTGAGTGAAGTGAGCAGAACCAGAACACTGTACACAGTAACAGCGACATTGTGCAATGATCAGCTATGATAGACTTAGTTCTTCTCAACAATACAATGATTCAAAACAATTCCAAAGACTCATGATGAAAAATGCTATCCACCTCTAGAGAAAGAGCTATGGAGTCAGAATGCAGATTGAAGCATACTACTTTCACTTTTTTTCATGGTTTTTCCCTTATGTTCAGTTTCTTCTTTCACAATATGGGGAAATATGTTTAACATGTTTGTACATGCATAACCTATATCAGATCGCTTGCTTTCTTGAGGAGGGGGGATGGGAGGAAGGGAAGGAGAAAAATTTGGAACTCAAAGTCTTGTAAAAAATGAATGTTGAAAACTATCTTTACATGTAATTGGAAAAAACAAAATACTATTTACAAAAAAAAAAAAGAAGAAGAAAGTGTTCCCTAGCCTTCTGGGGGTTTTCCATTTGTCCAGTCATTCAATAAATCTCTATTGAGTGCCCATTCACTGCGAGCTGGTAGCTTAGGTGCTATGTTGGTGATACAAGGAAACATTAGGATAGAGTTTCTGCCCTTCAAGTAGCGTAGTCTAGAATTTCCCTCCCTCTCTCCCCCTGCCACGGACCAGTTAACTCAAGAGAAAAAAACAGAACAGCCTCAGGCTACATCTCTAACTCTGGGTAGTTCATGTCATTGGTCTCAAGAGGGATCAGATGAAAAAAGTATGGTGAGGTCTTTGAATTCCATCCTCCACAAATGGAAAAATCCACTTAACGAGTCTCTCCTGCTGAATAGGTCAAAGCCATAGGAACAGCACATTCGCACCCTGTATCTCTCAAAGAAATCTTCCCAGCCTGGAAAAAAACTTACTCTTACCTCTTACTTATTAGGACAAGAGGGAACACTTTATGAATACTCCACCTAAACTCAAATATTTATTCTGTTATACAATTATTCCAATCTTTTGGCACAGCAAAGGAAATACAATCTAAGCAGGTACCTTATTTCAGGCAAAATTAGAAAGGAAAAAAATCTAGATGTATTTATCCCGCACTTTTCTGACCCTGCTGCCAATGCAAAAGCAGGCAAGAAGATGCTGAAACAGTACTTGAAGGTCTGTGGTCCTTTGATGATAGGCAGCAGGGGTGCAGAAGAAAGAGTACTGGCTTTAGAGTCAGAGGACCCGGGTTCAAATTTGACTTCTACCACTTACTTCCTGTGTGAATTTGGACAAGTCCCTTCCCCTCCTTGGGCCTCAGTTTCCTCCTCTGTAAAATAAGGGAGCTTGGACTAGATGACCTCTGGGGTCCCTTCCTGCTCTAGATCTAGGATTCTATGGGTGACCTTGGGCAGGTCCCTTCCCCTCCCTGGGCCTCAGTTTCCTTCTCTGTAAATAGGGGAGGCAGGGGAGGGGGCCTCTGGTTCCCTTCCAAATGCAAATCAATCATTCTAAAGATTCTTAAAAGCAGTGGATAAGCCTTAATTATAGAGGCTAATGTCAGTGTCATTCATAATTTAAAGGAAAAAAATGCTAGATTCTCCTGGATTTGCTAGTAGTTCGCTTTGCAGGGTTCCCCCACCCCTGCTTTGGGGAGTAGATCTCTGCCATTCTGTTTAGGTTAATATTAAAGGTAGTCTGCATTCCCTGAATGCCAGAGACCTGGCCCGAAGCCAGCCAGCTACAGTGGGGTAACCTCAATTCTTCGGAGTTCCAGTGATCCTTGATGGATATTTGAAGTGATTTCAGCTCTATGAAAGCAGAGCTGGCACCTAAGTCGATGGTAGTCACAAGTTTTTGTGGTTGAAAATTCTACCCAGTGTGGCCCACCTGCTGGAGGAAGGAGCTAGCCAAACGCAGCTAGCTTGGTTCTCAGGGGACAGATGAAAATGGCTTGCTTCAGTGCCAAAGCTTCAGACAAGTTGAGGAGAGAGCACAGGAATTATTTTTTAAAGCAGCTCTAGATAACAAAATCTCTTAGACTCACTGACCATTCATTTTCCCTCTCCCCTGAAGGGCTTTTCCCCCAGACAAAATCATTCCATCTTAAACTTCACAGTCTGAGATGACAGGACTCTAGCTAGATCTAGAACTGAAAGGGATCTCAGAGGCCATCTAGTTCAGTCCCTTGTTTTACAGAAGAAACTGAGTCACAGAGAGGGGAAGTGACCAGCCAAGGGCACACAAAGGTTCCTGGATCTAAAAATGGAAGGGACCTCAAAGGCCACCTAGTCCAACCTCATTTTACAGATGAGGAAACTGAGGCACAGAGCAATAAAATTATTTCCCCCATGGTCACAAGAGGATCCCAGACCTAAAGCTGGAAGGGATCTCTGAGGTCATTTAATGCAATCCCTTCTTTTTACAACAGAGGAAACTGAGACCCGGGAGCAGGGCTTTGGCCAAGGTCACACAGGCTGTGAGGGGCAGGGCTGAGATTGACTCCAAGTTCATGGCTCCTTCCCCAGCACCAAGCTGCCTGCCCAGCCCCACTCCCCGTGGCCCTGGGGTTTCACGTTTGTTCTCGGGGGTGGGAAAAGAACCCCCCAAATGCAGCCCGCGAAATGCACCGCGCACAACCCCCGGAGCCCTGGCTGCTCAAAGAACTTGGAGCGCAGAGAATGGCCCGGCGGCTGCGAGCGGACAAAGCGCGGCGCTGCCCGGATCTCTGACTGCACCTCGGGGCGCCGCAGGTCCTTCGGGCCCGGGGAGAGGGGACTCCCACATGGGTCTTGTAAGGTTCCCTTCAAAAACCCCCAGCCCCCCATCAGCGCATCCCCCTGCCCCCTCCCGACGCTGCGATGGGGGGAGGGGGCCCCTCGATCGCGCCCCCCCAAACGCAGAGCTCCCAGTGGGCGGGGGTGGGGGGCAAGGACTTACGGCCGCATCGGCGGGCCAGCCCCACTGGCTCAGGCCCAGGAAGAAGAGCAAGCCGGCGGCCGCCCTCATCTCGGAGCGCCGGCCGCCCGGGCCTCTCCGAGCGCCCCGGGAACTCCGGCGGCCGCTCCAGCTGCTCCGCGATGGCTCGCACGCGCGCACAGGCAAACTTTTCCCTGGCCAATCCCTTGGGCTCGCCCCTTGTCCCATCCCCAGGCTCATATCCCTCCGCCACCTCGGCCTTCTTTTCTCTGGACCTAACAACCTGTCTGGCCACCGGGGAAGGGGGGGGAGGGGAAGGGGGGGGGGGAGCGGGGGGAGGGGAGAGAGAGGGAGATTGGAGAGAGTGAAGGAGGAGGGGGAAGATGCGGGGGAAGGGAAGAGTCAGGGGAAGGGGAGAGTAAGGGAAGATGGGGAGGGGAGGAGAGAATGAGGGGGGAAGGGGAAAGTGAAGGGAAAGGAGAAGTGAGAGAGGAGAGCTAAGGGGAAGGAGGAAAGGGAAGGGGGAAGGGACAGAGGAAAGTGAGGGGAGGGAGAGGGAGATTGGAGAGAGTGAAGGGGGAGGGGGGAAATGTGGGGGGAATGAGGGGAAGGGAGGGGAAGGAAAGAAGGGGAGGGGAAGAATGAGGGGGGAAGGGGAAAGTGAAGGGAAAGGAGAAGTAAGAGGGGAGAGCTAAGGGGAAGGAGGGAAGGGAAAGGGGAAGGGAGTGAGGGGAGGGAGAGGGAAGGGAGTAAAGTGAGAGGGAGGGAGGAAAATGAAGGGGAGGAAAGAAAGTGAGGGGGAAGAGGGAAAGTGGAAAGAAGGTAGTAAAATAAGGAGAGGGAAGTGAGGAAAAACAGAGGGCAAGGGGTAGTGGGGAAGGGAGTAACAGAGAAAGCCCCTGACTTCCATCCCACTGAAGTCACAGCTCTCTCCTGGGGACACTTCCTCCTTCCCTCAATACCCTTTCCAGCCTGGGGTGCACTTCCACTCCTATCCCAATTCACCGGCAATGGTGGGGCAATCCAAATACTCCTTGCTCCCTATTATCACTTCCAGACTCTTCCTCTCCCAGTCACTTTTGCAACCTCTCATTGGAAGCCCGCCCTATTTAAATTGATCACCAGTCCTGATCCTGGGGACTAGAATACTGATACCCATATTCTGGGGGCCTCCCTTCTCAAAGAGCTCAGTGCTTGGCTCAGTTTCCCTCTCCTATCTCCTTTCCTCACTCTAAGGGACTCTAAGCATCCATGTGGATATTCCCTCCAATCTCCTAACTTTCCAGTTCTTCAGTCTCCTCAGCTCTCCTGACCTCCTCCTCCTCCACTCTTCCTCAGTTGGTCACATCCTTGACCTGTCCCTTGTCTTTCTATCCATGCTGATGTTTCATTCTGGCTAAACCAGCTCTTGGGCATTCCCTCCTCCCTTCCCAATCTTGACCCCTTGGTGAACCAGTCCAACTGCACAATCTTCCACTCTTGCCAAACCCCAATTCTTGATTCCTCCTGCCATCTAACTCCTTCTTTCCTACCCAGATGTTGCTGAACAGAACTGGAAGAAATTATGAAACCATGCTGACTAGGTCAGCTCTATAACTAGAACTATACATTTATGCTGGTTAACCTCAGTGAACACACCAAGCATTTGTTAAGAGCCTATTCTATGCAAAATGCTATTGATTCTCTATCCCACTCAGCACTCAAGCTTTACCCAAACCTTTTCTTTTCTCCTCAAGCCCCCCCCAGTGACTCCCTCTCCCCACTCTCCCAGCTGAAGACCTCACCTCATCTCATGCTTCATTGCAAAAAACCCCAAAAAACGAAGGTTCCCTTTTGTCTCTTCATCTCACATCCCTCTGACATCATTCCCCACTATTTCCTCCTTCATTCCATTCTCTGATGATGGGGAAACCCTTCTGCTTGTCAAAGCCATCTCCTCTTCTCTTCTTCAGCATATAGCCCCACCCCCATCATTAGTCCCACTCCATCTTCAATTTCTATTTGTTCCTTTCCTGCTGCCTACAAACAGATCCCAAGTCTCTGCCATGGCCAGTCTTCCTGATTTATATCTTGCCATGGGAGCCAGATGGCTGCAGAGGAGAAAGTGAGGCAGGTGACTTTGCACAGTCCTTCCTCACTTAAATACAATTTACTTGCAATTCATGGCATCCCATTCCTGATGCCTCTTAGAGAATGAAGGACAAGCAACACTAGCAAGTTCTTTGCCACCACAAAGAGAGCTCCTATAAATATTTAAGAACATATAGGTTCTTTTCCTTTTCCCCTGATCACCGTGGGAAACAGACCCAATAGTGATATTTCTGGGTCAAAGGGTATACATAGTTTTATAACCCGTTGGGCATAATTCCAGATTGCTCTCCAAAATGGTTGGATCGGTTCACAGTTTCACTAACAGTGTATTAGTGTCCCAATTTTTCCACATCTTCTCCAACATTTGTCATTTTCCTCCTTCTATCATTTTAGCCAATCTGATAGGTGTGAGATGATCTAGCTCTATCTCAATCACCCCAGACATCCAGTAAGTTGCAAAATCTTGTGATTTCTTTCTCTAGAACATCTTTCTCACATACCACCTTCTCTCCACTCACACAGTCATTACTTTAAGTGAAGCCCTCATCACTTCTCATCTACACTATTACAATAGCCTTCTAATTGGTTTTCCTGCCTCAAGTCTCTTCCCGTTCTAATTCATCTTTCACTCAGTACCTAAAGTGATTTATCTAAAAAATAAGTCTAATCATGTTGCCCTACCTGCTCCATACTCCCCAGTAAGTCACTATTACCCTTAGAATCATCTATAAAGTTCTTTGCTTGACATTTACATTTCTTCACAACCTGGTCCCTTCCTAACTTTCAAATCTCCTTACATTCTACCCTCCTCTGTAATCTAGCCATACTTGCTGTTTCTCACATACAACACTCTTTGTGGGGGCAAAGCTAAGATGGTGGAGAGAAATGAGGAAGTTGCCTGAGCTCTCCCCAGTTTCCCTCAGAAACAACATGAAAATCAAGCCTCTAAAAGAATTCTGGAGCAACAAAATCCACCAAAAGACAGGGCAAAAAAGTTTTCCAGCCCAAAATAACTTAGAAGGACTTCAGGAAGGGTCTGTCTCACTTGGGTAAAAGGGGAGTGCAGCCCAGCAGAGGCAGTGTCCAGGGAAGCCAGTGAGAAACTGTAAGCCACAGCACAGATAAGCATCTGAGACCCTGCAGTCCTGGCTCAGCAGGCCAGCTGTGAGGCCTCCAGCCTCAGCACAGCAGGCAAACCACCAGCCCTGGAACCCAGGGCACAACAGGCTAACTAGGTTGGGCCACCCTAGCACAGTGAGAAAGCCACCAGCCCCAGAGGCTCCAGTGCCAAAAGCCAGTGACCAGACCCCTGGCCCCCAGTGCAAGAGCTGGGAACAGTGCCCCCTGTACTCCAGGAGCAGAGCTCAACTTTTAAAAATGAGCAAAAAACAAAAAAGAGCCTGACCATAGAAAGCTACTATGGCAACAGGGAAGAACCAAACACAAACTCAGAAGAGGACAACAATGTCAAAATGTCTACATGCAAAGCCTCAAAGAGGAATATGGATTGGTCTCAAGCCCAAAAAGACCTTTTGTAAAATCTCAAAAAGGATTTTAAAAATCAAGAAAGGGAGGTAGAAGAAAGATTGGGGAAAGAAATGAAAGTTATATAAGAGAATTATGAAAAAAGAATCAACAGATTAGAAAAGAAAGCATAAAAATTGACTGGAGAAAACAACTCCTTGAAAAATAGAATTAACCAAATTGGGGGGGGGGGGGAATCCACTGAAGAAAACAGCTCCTTTAAAAGTAGAATTTATCAAATGGAAAAGGAGGTACAAAAGCTCACTGAAGAAAATAATTCATTAAAAATTAGAATTGGGCAAGTGGAAGCTAATGACTCCATGAGACATCAAGAATCAGTCAAATGAAATCAAAAGAATGAAAAAATAGGAGAAAATGTAAAATATTTCTTTGGAAAAACAACTGACCTGGAAAATAGATCCAGGAGAGATAATTTAAGAATTATTGGACCACCTGAAAGGCACAATAGAAAAAAGAGTTTGGACAGCATCTTTCAAGAAATTATCAAAGAAAACTGCCCTGATATCTTAGAACCAGATGTAAAATAGTCATTGAAAGAATCCACCTTGAATTCACATTGAAACATCACCTCCTGAAAGAGATCCCAAAATAAAAACTCCAAGGAATATTGTAGCCAAATTCCAGAGATATCAGGTCAAGGAGAAAATACTGCAAGCAGTTAGAAAGAAACAAATCAAATATCAAGGAATGACAGTCAGAGTTACACAGGACTTAGCAGCTTCTACATTAAAGGATCAGAGAGCTTAGAATATGATATTCTGGAAGGCAAAGGAGTTTGGATTACAATCAAAAATCAACTACCCAGCAAAATTGAGCATAATCTTTTGGGGTAAAAGATGGATATTCAGTGAAATAGGGGACTTTCAAACTTTCCTGATGAAAAGAGCAGAGCTGATATCTATAGTCATATGAAAAAATACTCCAAATCACTATTGATTAGAGAAATGCAAATGAAAACAACTCTGAGGTACTATCTCACACCTATCACATTAACTAATATGACAAAAAAGGAAAATGATAAATGTTAGAGATGATATGGGAAAATTGGAACATTAATGCATTGTTGGTGGAGTTGTGAACTTACCCAACCATTCTGGAGAGCAATTTGCCCAACTATGCCCAAAGGGCTATAAAACTGCATACCCTTTGACCTAGCAATACCAATACTAGGTCTGTATCCCAAAGAGATCATAAAAAGGGAAAAGGACTCACATGTACAAAAATACTTATAGCAGCTCTTTTTGTGGTGGCAAAGAATTAGGAATTGAGAGGATTCTCATCAATTGGGGAATGGCTGAACAAGTTGTGGTATATGAATGTGATGGAATACTATTGTGCTATAAGAAATGATGAGCAGGCGGACTTCAGAAAAACCTGGAAAGACTTATATGAACTGATGCTGAGTGAAGTGAGCAGAACCAGGAGAACATTGTACACAGCAACAGCAATGTTGTACAATGATTAACTTTGATAGACTTAGCTCTTCTTAGCAATGCAAGGATCTAAGACAACTCCAAAAGACTCACAATGGAAAATGCTATCCACATATAGAGAAAGAACTATGGAGTCTGAATGTAGATCAAAGC